TTCTCGAAATCCCCATTTTAGTGCCTTTAAAAATGCAGCCATGATACCAATATATTGATATAAGCACATGCAAAAAATAAAACGGAGGGGGTGCTGTGATGCCACTATTATGACGGCACCTCCCTTGAAAATCCTGATTATCTCAGGCACACACGGAAGAAAAGAAACTGACTCCACAACTGGCAGGCAGTTGTCCAGAAGAACTGTGCTCAAACCAATTCCAATGCTTGTGGATCGACTGCCAAGAAAATCAGGAGTAAGCTGAGTGTGTGGAAAAGTCCAGTTCCACCATTTTCCTGCTCTCACATCCTTGCAGCTACCGTGTTTTAAAGCAATTATTCTAGCAGGGTCTCAATTAATTACTCTCAGCAGGGTCGTTTCATAGAAAAAGAGCTAGGGGAACTCATTAGCATAACTCATCAGCATATGCCACACCCCCTGACATCACCGTTGCAGCTCCACTGCCGAGCCCCATGAGGGCCTGCAAGGCCGGCGGGAGTGCAAGGAAGCCCCACAAAGGCCCTCCCTGGCTTCAGGCAGGCAGGGGTGGGGAGAGGCAGGGAGGAAGCAACTTACCCTCCCTCTTCTCCTGCCTCCTCCTGGCTGAATGAGGGCCGGAAGCGGGGCGGCCGGAAGCAGGGGGCGGGGCTTCGTCATGTGCCCCGCCCCCGTACCTCACCCAGGGGAACTGCGATCCCCCATGATCCCCCCCAAATGACCTCTGACTCTCAGCATTCCACAGTTAAGGATACATCCATCTCCAATTTTGACATATTTATTTCCTTCACTGTTTCCCCCCCCAGAACTGAACCCAAACAAATGGCAACCATATCAACTCAACTTATTATCTCTGTTTGATCCTTGAATCTGTTAGACATCTTCATTATGCTGCGTGATAATTTACTGCTCACTGTCTACCTATATGTATGGACTGGTAATTTCCATTTTTGTTTCTGTCTCTATCTCCACTCTAATTGGCCCTTCCTGGCAACTAACCCCCCCTTCCTAGATGTAGTGGTTAAGGAAATTCTGTTTCACTGTATCTGAAGAAGTGTGCTTGTACATGAAAGCTTATACCTTGAATAAAACTTTGTTGGTCTTAAAGGTGCCCCCGGACTCCAACTTTGTTCTGCTGCTTCAGACCAACATGGCTACCCACCTGAATCTATCTAGCAATTCCTGATCTTTAAAAAAAAAGTTATCAGAAAGTCTGTTTGGGGGGGGAAGGGGGGGGGGGGGGAATGTGGAGAAAATGGGGGCCAACAGAAGAAGTGATACAGAAAATTCCTTGTGGAGAAGCTCTGTTGCTAATGTCTGTGGCTCAGTGGTAGAGCATCTGCTTGGCATGCAGAAGGTCCCAGGTTCAATCCCTGGTATCTCCAGTTAAAAGATATGGCAGTAGGTGGCATCTGCCTGAGACCTGGGAGAACTGCTGCCAGTCTGAGTAGACAATACTGACCTTGATCGACCAAGGGCCTGATTCAGTATAAGGCAGTTTCGTGTGTTCATGTGTCTCTGTATTTGCAGCAACAGTGAATGCAAGAATGATAGTCCATGCCATGTGGAAGCAGCTGTAATGGGGGGAGGCGGGGGAATGGCAACATCTCTTCTTCATGGCCTGCCTCCAAATGAGCCGAGATCAATCTCCACTCTCTTTAGAATTTTCTTAACAGGAACAATTTTATGTCAGGTGTAGTTATGTTTTCCCCCATCAAAGTGCCGACTTACCTGGAGAACTTGGACCTGGCAGAATTCTCCTAAAAGCACTGGAGTCTCTTGAGATTTAGATCTGACAGCCGTATCTGGGCTCTAAAGTTTTCCCTTTCTCTATATCTCAACAGAGTTGGGGGCTACCACAAGTAGAAATAGGGATATCAGCTCAGATTTTGGATAGGAATCCTACATTTAGTACTAGGAAATGTCTCTCTAATGTAGCCATAGGTTGAATGTAGAGTCATGTCTTCTGTACTGCCTCTGTGTGTTTCTATCTCTGCCTGGAGTTCCACCAGAGGCCTGGTCTGAGCTTCTGTAAACGTAGTGGCTAAGACTGATGTCCCTGGCTCAAAATATATTTATTTATTTAGATGTTTCTGTTGGAAGTGAAGGGCTGGGCATTTTCCCCCGCCTCAGCTGTGTGGCAAGACAGTCAGACAGCTAGATAGGCAGACTAAACTTCCTTCGTGTGTTTACTCTTCTGCCATTGTCCCTTTGATATGCAGAATGCTATTCTCAGGGATCAATTTCCTTCCTTCCGTTCATCCTCTCCCATAACACACTTCTTGCACACACCAAGAGGGAGGACACACTGTCTCCATCTTGGCACCATGATACAAATGGCCCTCTCACCATCTGCATCCACCCATAGTAAGTTAGACTAGTGTTCCAGCCCTGATTCTAACCTTTCCTATCTAGAAAGCAGTTCCAAAATAAAGAGACTATTAGTCTCCAAACTGAAGAGTGGCTCTGTATAACTTTGTAATTTGACTTGAATACCTGGAACAAAAGACACTCCTGTGTGTGTAGCTTAAAGCACTCTGCTAAACTAACCAGTGGGAACTGGACTAACTATACCAGTTAACCCAATAGTTTCTGCTCTGCTTTTCTTCCCAGTGGAGAACCAAAGAAACTGGCAACATCATTCTCCCATTATATCTTCCCAACAGCTAATTGGAGAGTTTAGCTCAACATCACTCCCAGTTTGGTGTAGTGGTTAAATGCACAGACTCTAATCTGGGAGAACCAGGTTTGATTCCCCACTCCTCCACTTGCAGCTACTGGATGACCTTGGACAAGCCTGTCAGAGCTGTTCTCTCAAGGACAGTTCTGGAAAGAGCTGTCTCAGCCCCGCCTACCTCACAGGGTGTCTATTGTGGGGAGGGGAAGGGAAAGGAGTTTGTAAGCTGTTCTGAGCTAACCCTAACCCGAGTGAAGGGGTATATATCCAATCTCCTCTTGTCTTCTCTCCCATGTGCTCGTATGCCAGAGTGAGGATTTGAACCTGGGTCTCTTGAATCCTAATTAGGTTTGACAGCTGACCGTCTCCAGCAGCCTCACCTCCAGCAGCAGCTTTGGCACTTTCTCCAGCAGCCTCACACCCAGAAATAAGTAGGGGATATTTTCCTTGCAGGGGTGTATAGTTTCACTTGCTAAATTTCTGCATCTTTGATTACTACAAGCCTTTCCTCATGTATCCCCTTCCCCACACTATTTCCTCTTTCTCTTCTCCTGTCAGTCACTGTATCTTCTCCCATTTCCCTGCTTCCTTCTTTCCTTCCATTCACTTAACCAACCTTTCTTTTACCCCTCCTCAGTCTTCAGATTTATTCTACTTCTCTATTTTATTGTCACAACAACCTTGTAAGGTAGATTAGACTGAGAAAGAGTGAATGACACAAGGTTACTCCGTAAGCTTCCTTGGCAAAATGGACATTTAAATCTAGGTGTTCCAGATCCTAGTCAGACACTTTAACCTCTACATCACTCTAGCAGTTACCTTTCCCTCCCCCTAGTAGCTCCTCCCTGGGAAAAGTGTGACCAAGTTGTCAAAGCCATGTGGCAGCAAGATTCTCAGGTGGTAGCCACTGCCAGGCCCAGCCACTTTTTTAAAAAAAGTCTTTTAGATTTCAGGTTTTATCTGCAAACCTGGTAGTTTTCTGCAGGGGTCACTTCGTAGAAAAAGAGGTCCAGGAACTCATTAGCATAACCCATTAGCATAACTTATTTGCATATGCCACACCCCCTGACATCACCAGATGTGTGTCAGAAGGCAACACCCACTGCAACTTACCTGGCTGCTTCTTGCTCCTCGTGGCCCGGGGCTGCCGGGAGCAGGGGGCAGGGCTTCTTGCATGTGCCCGCCCCCTGGGCTTTTTACTGCCGGAGCTCTGCTCCTGTGCGCTCCTGCAGGAAATGACCCCTGGTTTTCTGTGTCTTGTTTTTCGATAGCTCCAGTCTCTGGATTTAAGTATCCACATATGGGATCATCTATGTTAAAAATTAGATATATTAAAAATCCTGGAACAAGGCTGGCTGGTAGCAAGTTTGCTATAGAAGCCAGATATCAATGTTATGGGGATGTTACTGCTATTTATGAAAGGAATAAAGTGTGCAGTATTTTAAAGTTGAATAAAAATAGATTTATGACATTCATAACAATAAATAAGAACATCCCATAATGTTGCTGCAGGAGAAGGTAGTTTTGCTCATTCTCTAGTGAGCTGAATTAAGTCTGAATGGTAGGATAATGTTGATTGAAGTTTAAGAAAGCATGTTGGTTTGGACATGTGTCTCTATCTGACCAGTTTTCTGCTAGCTTTTAAAATTTTGTTATTTTGTTTAGTTCAGCAGTTTCAGTGTAATGCCTCACTTTCCATTAAAGTTGACAACATTTTTGTTCTCTCTACTCTCCCTCCTTTAACAACTGCATGACAGGATGATCAATAGGTATACTAATATGCAGAAACGTTTCTTATGCATATCTGCACTTTCCACAGTCATTATAGGAGCTAGGTGGGTGCCAGTGTTCCCTCTAAGCTGAGTTAGTGTGAGCTAGCTCACAGTTTTTTAGCGTCCGACTCACACATTTTTGTCTCAGCTCAGGAAGGATGGCTCCAGAGCAAGCTAATTCATGCAGTAGCCAAATCACTCGCTCACAACTTTAATGCCAGCAGCTCACAGAGCAGAATTTTTGCTCACAAGACTCCACAGCTTAGCGGGAACATTGGCTAGTTTGTTTTTATGCTTCTGAAGTGTCCGTCCTTCTTTTTTGGCCGTCTGCCATTTTGTTCTACATTAGCATGGTAATCGGCTTTTAATTTTTTTTAAGTGTATCCTCAATGCTCATTACGCAAATGAGGGACTGAAGGGAGACAAGACAGCTTTTCCATCCCATCTGTAAAAAGGAGGCTGGGTTGACAAGAGGCGGGTTTAGAACTGCCTGGTTGTTATGGGAACGGGAGTCGCCGGTTCTGCGGACTCAGCTTCCCAGCATGCAATGTACTTTTGACCTGTGACCTAAGATGGCTGCGCCCAGGAGGACGGAGGAGATGTGCTGAGGTTGGAGTGAGGGAAAGGTAAAACGGGACGTATAGGAGGACTGAGAGGAGGGGAGAATATTCCCCTGGTTTGCAAAGGAGGGATCTCATGGCTGCCATACCGCCGCATTTGGGCCGAGCTCTCTCCGTGAAGGTCCTTACTTGACCTGCTGTTACAGTTGTTATTTAGGGGGAGTAAAGGCTGCTGTGCGCCATAGCAAGGTGTGTTTTCTTACTCTGGGTTATCTGTGGCTGAACACAAGGAGATTATTTTGCCTATATAGAAAAATCCACACATCCTTTATCCGTTCCGTGTTAGTTCTGGTCTTGCATAGAAGGTTTCTCCAGGGACTAAACGTCTTTTCCTAAAATAATCTGCCATATTCCGGCCACTTGCGCCTCAGTTTTCCATCGCCTTTTCGATGGCCTGGTTACGCATCGAAGAGAACGAAATGGCAACGAGATGACAAGAACTGAAGTGGCAGAACGCGTGTGTGTAAAAGTGCCTGCAAGTCGCAGCCGACTTACGGCTACCCCAACAATTGGCTTTCAAGGTGGAAGTCGGTTGCCATTGTCTTCTTTTGTAGTCTTTCTTGGCGGGCTCCCTTCCAAGTACTGACCCTGCTTAGCTTCCATCATCTGAGGAGATCATACTATATTGTGCTGCCTTCCTTCTTAATGGCAGAATAGATTATACCATTCCATTCTGTAGCTGAAGGATTGTATTTCGGAATGCTCTGTTTGTTTTTCCTTTAAAAAAATCCTTAGAATAGAAAACCTATACAGCAAACACAGCAATGGGGTAGAACCTTTCTCCCTATGGTGTCACTTTTCTGTTTGCAAGAAAGTTTTTTATCTGAAGGTGCATTTTACCTGTAACCCAGAGTCTTCTGTTCAGCACACCCTGGTTGTTATCTACTTCTTGAATCTTACTTTTGCCCAAACACTTAATTTTTGAAAAGTCTGGATAATACATTCTACTGATCAGAAAGGCCCTCCCCCAAATTTGAACATTTGGGAACAGGGGTGGGGTGGGGGGGCCTCTGCATACTCTTGGAGACCGCTAAATAATATGTGGTACATCACAGGTTGAGTCTGGCACAGATTAAACTGTGCCTTCCTTCCTGCCCCATCAATAATATGTATTGCTATATATATGGGAATAATCCTACATCCTAACTTTTTTCTCCCCCTGCCCCCCCCAAATCTGTGATTTTTTAAAGAATACACTCCCTCCCCTTTTGCTCCCATTCTTAACTAGCCTTTTTCCTAATCCAGATCTATCCGGAACCTGAATTACCATGTCGAAGGCCTCCCGTGCTGCCAAAGCAGTACAAAAGGTGACCCCTGGAAACGTGATCCGGACAATCATTCGAGCAGGGCAAGCTGTTCCAGGACCACCCTTAGGGCCTGTCCTAGGACAGGTATGCATGGGATGTGATTAAGATGGAATGACAAGATGTTGGAATCGAACTTGAGGACAGTATGATGTTTCCACTTGCAAATGTGCCGCATACTGGGGAACCTGAATTGGGTGGAAATGTGGCATAGAAATGTTTTAAATAATAGTAATAATTAAGATGAGTAGCCATGTTAGTCTGTCTGTAGCAGTAGAAAAGAGCAAGAGTCCAGTAGCACCTTGAAAACTAACGAAATATGTGGCAGGGTATGAGCTTTCATGAGTCACTGAAGAAGTGAAGTAATAATATCGGGACACAGACTAGCCTCTTGGCAAAACGGGCTTTTGCTGGTTTGTTCCTACATTGCCGACAGTGGTTATGTACATCTAAGGCTGCCAACAACCTGGAGAAAAAAATGTCCTGCTCCTTTAATAGCAGCTTAATATGTGGAAATGGGTGGGTGAAGCCTCTCGTGGCGTGAAGGTAACTAACATTAGGTTTTCCTTGCTCAAAAGCCAGTCACTCTAGGGGTGCCATGCTCATCTCTGTTTCCAAACCGAAAAGCCAGCACTGTCCGAAGACATTTCCGTGGTCATGTGGCTGGCATGACTAGACGCTGAGGTGCACAGAACGCTGTTACCTTCCCACCGAAGCAGTACCTATTTATCTACTTGCAATTTCTTGCTTTTGAACTGCTAGGTTGGCAGAAGCTGGGACCAGAGACAGGAGCTCACTCCATCATGCGGCACTCGGGTCTCAAACTGCTGAACTACCGACCTTCCTGTCTGCAGTTCAGCGTCTTAACCACTGATAAATAATGCCTTGTTAAGCCTCTATTAAGGGGGCCAGGCTTTTTTCTCCAAGTTGTTGGCAACTGTATGTGCAGAGGATACAAATGGAAGAACATTGCAGGGAAGTGGTACTTCAGGGCTTGGGATCTGCCTGGCAGGTATATCCTCTGTCCAAGGAGTTCTCTAATCCTTAGTGTCCATAAATTAAGCATGTCTTTTCTGAATCTTTTTCTGCCATTACCACTTCCTGTGGTAATGAATGACAAAGATCAACAGTGTGTTGTGGTGGTGTATGTTTTTAGAAAATAGTGTACTTTGTTAATTTTATGAAGTGGTCCTCTGCTGTCATTGATATGCAATGTATTAGTGAAACATCTAGCACTGGGTCTTGAGCCTGTGTGGAATATGCTGTGGTCTGGTTCTGCTCTCTAATCCCAGGTTTATGTGGGAGTTTATTGTAGTCACTAGTTGTGAAGAGAAGAGATTGGATTTATACCCCACCCTTCACTACCCAAAGGAGTCTCAGAGCGGCTTACAAACTCCTTTCCCTTCCCCTCCCCACAAGAGACACCCTGTGAGATAGGTGGGGCTGAGAGAGTTCTGACAGAAACTGCTCTTTTTCAAGGGCACCTCTGACAGAACTATGGCTTGCCCAAGGTCATCCAGCAGGTGCAAGTGGAGGAGTGGGGAATCAAACCCGGTTCTCCCAGATTAGAGTCCGCGCACTTAACCACTACACCAAACTTAAGAAAAAGACACACTTGGCATACTCAGAGGCACTCTTCTTTATTGCTTCACGCACTGGGGGCCAGGTCTCCATGACTCAAAAACCACCCTGATCCAGTTGAAAGCAAAATAGTGGAATTGCAGCATGTACTTCGGTTAGTTGCGTTACTGAAGTTCTCTTGTAGCAGAAAGGTCATGGTGGTGGTGGGTGGCTTCCTTTTTGGGGTTAGGTTGATTAAACATTTGAAGGTTAGAATGGATAATATCTTTGCAAGACTCTTCTCTGGGTACTAGCACTGCACTTTCTAGATTGGCTGTGCAGTGTACAGTAGCACACTTTGGAGGTTAAGATTGTGAAGGGGCAGCCCTTCACACAAGATGAGTAACAAAACTAATTCTGGCATTTCTGGAAGTGCTTGTGTGGGGGAAGAACAACAACATTGTGAATCCATCATGTAAACAATTTGGAGATGACCTGTTAGTTTTGAAATCTCTGCATTGGTATCAGTTGGAGCATCCTGATTGTTCACTAGGCCATCTCCCTTCCTGGCACAGGTGATGACAGAACACCTGCAGCCAACCAGAGGCATATGTTCAGCACTATGAGTGGAATACATGTCAGTGTACAGGTATAGAACATCGTGCTTCTGTGCCCACTAATCTAGGTGTCTGACCATCCTACTGATAGTTATATCTCTAAACTGTCATTCTGCCTCGAAGTAGGTCTCAAGGTGTACAAACCAAGGCAGGTGTGTTTTTTTCATCAGGCAGCATCTGTACAAGGTGAATCATGGTCCACCCCATACAGACTTAAGCTGCACCCGACAGCCTGCTCTGAGTGTTCTGGCAGTAGAGGGAATGGTGGTGGTTGAGTCTCTTGGTGAGTGTTGCATGGTGTGCTTGTAGCAGCTGGATTCTTTGGTGCAACAGTGTCTATGGAGCTGGTGACCTGTGGTTTGAGCATTTGGGTGGGACTGTTCATCTGTGACCCGGGCCTGTTTTGGGAGCATTTCAACTGTGGCATTTCTGTGGCTGGCTTTGCCCTTGGCCTGGGTGTGTTCATGTAGCTGGTCACTTGCAGTATGTTTGCAGGACTGGTCAGCTGTGGTTTGCGCACATTCGTGACTGTGGCGGGCTGTGATCTGCCCATCATGTATTTCCACTGCGGTTTGGGCGTGTCTGTGTTGCCGCTCGTCTGTGGCTTGGGTGTGTCCTTGGGACTGACTGCACATGGGACATGCGTGGCGGGTTTCTCTTGCAGCCTGGGTGCCCGTGTGGTGCTGCTGTAATACGGCACAGCTCTTCAAGGCAATGGCTAGGAGGTTTTTGCCCATGAAGATGGAAGAGATGCGCTGGTCATGGCAGAGGAGGAGCAGCCCCCCACGGATGAAGATGGTGGCCACATTCACGCTTGCCAGACTCAGCAGGGGGTAGAGCGTGCCATAGTGGGGGCTCTGCACCCCCAGCTCGCTCAGCGACACACAAGGGAGTACCAGCAGGAGGCCATAGCAGTAGAAGAACGTCAGGCCCTCCGCCCACAAGGGCAGCACTCGCTGCTGCGGCTCCCACAGGCTGGCTTGGATCTCCAACACGTCCAGCAGGTCCAAAACCACCCAGAAGAGGCGCCCGCGGAGTTCGTCTTTCTTGCGGAAGCTGGCGGCGGCCTGGGCTACCAGCTCGGTGGCTCCCAGCACGGTGTAGAGAGCAGGGATGCAGATGGAGAGCAGGAGGGTGAGGGTATGCCGGGCCAGCGGGTCAGGAGGAGCCTGCCCTTCCGTCGCGTAGTGCTGGTAAATGAAGTAGAGTTTGATCTCCAGGGCAAAGGCAAAAAGAAACCACAGCACCATGGCATACCCCCGCTGGGCCAGGCGTGCCTCACCACCCAGCCAGACCGCCGCGTAGCGCAGCACCAGGAGGAAGAAAAGGTCCCCGGCCAGCGCAAGCGTGCACACGCCCAGCCGTCGGGCCCCAGCACTCTGCTCCACTAGGTAGACGTCCATGGCTCCCATGGTGCAGACAATGACTACGGCTGCCATGCAGGTGTGTGGGATGCTGGGGGGCAGCAGCTCCATGGTCCTCTGTGGGGGAAGAGGACAAATATGACAGTTGTGGTGGTGCGTGTGAAAGGTCACATTCCAATCTATGGGTGGTAGTTCAAATAAATAATGTTGGGGAGAGCTAGTGTGGGACACTATCCCTGCCCAGGAAAATGTCAGTTGTGGCCCATTGGGTTATAGAGGAGTGCATCCCCCTTCCCCTAGCATGAACTGTTTCTCCTGCGCTCCTTCATTTCTGACCTCATGGCCAGCCTGCAGTATAAGAACCCTTCAGAAGAGCCCTGCTGGATCAGACCAGTGGTCCATCTAATCCAGCGTCCCCCTTCATCTGCCCTAGAGTACCGGCAACCATGGCATAGTAGACGCCAAGGCCTTCCCTGATTTTGCCTCCTGCGCTGTTGTTTGGAGGTTTACCGGTTTACAGCTTGGAGAACTGGTTTAGGTGTTCTCTAGCCTGGGGTCCCTGCAGACACTATCTGAGGCCTTGAGTCCAGCAGTCAGGTTGTTCTGCTCTGCTGGGCAGGCCGAGTCAGACAACCAGATTGCTGCTAGTATTTATAACTGGCCTGGCCAACCCAAAGGTCTTACACTGGTTTTGTTTGTCCCTGTGCTCTTCTGTGCCTGAATACAAGTCTGACTACAAACAGTCCTTGGAATCTTATTAGGTGCCAGTTGAGGGGCTTGGGTTTTTCCCCCTCACAGACCAATTGTACAGAGCAAAGCAAGAGGAGTGAAGACTTGCCTTGCTCTTCCTGCTTCGTGGTTTGGGCCAGCCTGCAGAAATTGCCCCTCTTGTTCTTAATTGGGGTTGGCCTTCTTGTTTTTCTGCCAGCTCCCGGGTGGAAGGGTGTCTTCATCAGAATGCAGGGGGAATCATCCTTGTGGTGGTTGAAGGGATTCTCTGTTGTGTTCAATCACTGAAAACACGTTTTGTTCTTGACTCAGGAGTCTGGATGGGACAGAAAAAAACATGCAATAATTAAAGACGTCCACCCTCCATCTTCCCTTAGATCCCGCCTCAAAGTCCACCTCTCCCATGATACCTTTAATTTGAGCCCCCAGCCACCACCTCCAGCTATAACAAAGTCTAAGTCTGTGTAACTTGATCTTGTCATCTTCTTCTCTTATTAACTTTGCTTTTCTCATCCTGTCCTGTAGTGAAATTTTACCTGGTAAGCTTCTCTGGCTGGCCCTTTGCCGCCTTTGTGAATATGCCATCAGTTGCCACCTCTGCTAGTGGTACTATGTAGATCGTAAAATAAGAGAGATGCAGGGGTTCAAGTCAGCCAGAAAGTCCTTTATTCTCCAATCCCAGATGTTTGTGGAGGCTGGCTGTGACGGGGGTGAGGGAAATGCATTGGGTTGAAACTGCTCACTTACTTCTTCATGTGTTTCTGGCATGAGGCAAGGGTGGACTGGAAGGGACGGTGAACACAAGGCCACTGGCCACCAGGAGAAAGTACAGCCCTGTTCTGGTAGCTTTGCTAGCACAGTAGGGACAAGGCTGCCCAGCTGATGGGTGGTAGTGGAGGTTATGGATGAGCTGATTCCAGTTGTGAGCTGAGTCTGAGCCAAGTGGCGCCTATAGCTCTAGCTCATAGTGCTGTAGGTGGGCCACTCAGCATGGCTTTTTTCTAGGCCATTTTAACTTCCCATTCTGTCCCTGAGATGAGCTCTGATTCAGATTAGTCCCTGCATGTCCTACCACTTGGCCTGCATCCAATGAGGATATGTAAGAACTGTTATTCTACAGCAGAATAGTTCTGAGGATATGGCTGTCCCTATGCCATCTCTTTGAGTTTGACTTTCATAAGGACATAAGAAGGGCTTTTCAAGCTCAGACCAAGGTTTCATCTAATCTAGCATCCTGTTCCCACCAGCGGCCAACCAGCTCGCAAGTAGACCATGAAACAGCCCCCCCATCTGCCCCATAAAATATTCAGAGAGAGACTACCTCTGAAAATGGAAGTTCCCAACAAAACAGAGGTGCTACTGGTGGAGGGAAGGTTTGACCCAGGAACTGGGATATCTCCTGTTCTGGATGGGGTTGTACGTCCCCTAAAAGAGCAGGTTCACAGCTTGGGGGTACTCCTGGATCCAGGCCTCCTGTTAGATAAATGGGTGGCAGCGGTGGCCAGCTTCACCAGGTTCAGTGAGCCAGATGCAGCCATTCCTGGGCAGGAAAGATCTTGCCGCTGTGGTGCATGTGCTGGTAACATCTCGATTAGATTACTGTAATGCGCTCTACGTGGTGCTGCCCTTGAAGACTATCTGGAAGCTGCAGTTGGTACAGAATGCTGTGGCCAGAAGGCTGACTGTAGTGGGTCATAGGGACTATCTGCCTCCAGTCTTGTTCCGTCCACAGTGGCTCCTAATTTGCCTCTGGGGCACCCAATGAAGTTGACAGTCAGTAGATTCAGGATGGAAAAAAAGGAAATACTTCTTTACTCAATGAATTATTAAAATGTGGAATTCACTGCCAGAGGATGTAGTGATGGGCATGAACACAGGTAGCTTTAAAAGGGGAATTGGACAGATTGGTGGAGGAGAGGTCCATCAAGGGCTAGGAGCCTTGATGACTAAATGGAGCCTCCCTATCCAGAGTGGTCAACCTCTGAATACCAGTGCTAGAGAGCAATCTTGACCCACAGGCTTTAATCCACTATTCTAATCAGTGCCCCACACTGGCTCTTGATTCCCCCCCCCCCAAAGTTATTTAAGCCTTTGTGATATTTTCTTTCAGTTGTGTCTCTGAACCGAGGAAGCCCGAAACACCTTAGCCTTCCTTCAAGGAGAAAATATTTCAAATGGTTGATCATTTTGCTTGACCTTTACTGCAGTTTTTCCAGCTTTACAATATCCTTTTTTGAGATGGGGGTGGCCAGAATTGCACACTATTCCAGCTGCAGTGACTCCCATAAGCCTGCAGCTGCACCGGGATCATTTTATTTTTTATTGCGTTTTTTGATCATTCCTAACACGGATTGTGCCTTTTTCATCACTGCAAGCGTACTGAGCTAATGCTGTAACTGAGCAATGCACCCTGATCTTTTTCCAGGTTAGTCACTGGCAATTCAGTCCCTCCTCAGTGTGCAGGTGAATTTGGGATCCTTTGCCCCAACAGAAATAGTTTTTTTAACCTTTTTTTTTTTTTTACACTGAACCGCATTTGCTATTCTGTTGCTCCGTTTGCCCAGTTTGCAGAGTTTCTTTTAGAGATTTCTGCATTCCACTTGAATCTTTCCAGCATTTGTTTGCAAACTTAAGTCACCTCATGGCCCACCCTAAGACGCCAGATCGTTCAATGGCACTGCTCTCAGTACAGATCCCCGGGGAGCCCACTGCTTATTTCTCTGTTGTGCAAACTTTTCACTGATTTCTATTTGCTGCTTCCTGTTCTTGAGCCCTCCAGTTTATTTAGGAGATGCATGTGCCGCTTCTCCAGAGACCTGCTTGAGGCAGCTTACAACTAATAAAACAAAACTATTAAACCAGCCCTGGAAAACAGGCTAACGCTATTAAAATGTAACCATTTAAAAAACAGGCCAGTACCTGTTTCTCTGTGTGATCACATCAAGAAAAGTCTATTTCATATTCCTTTTTTCAGTCCAAGGCATAGAACTTACTTTGCTGTAGATCTTCAAATATAGCCATTTGCCATCTCCTCCTTACATTTTTCCATTACAAAGAATTAAATGAGATACCCGCCCCCCTTAAATGTTCTCAGCAGTTTCTTAGACGTGGGCCCTATAATGGAAGGGATCAATAGTGAGGTTCTGATACTCATGACCAACACATGCAGTGGAGACCAAAAGGATGGATGCAGAGTGTTGTGGAAAGATGTATGGGAACAAAAGAAATTGCATGCTCAGTCATTCTTATTTGGGGGGTCAGTCTTGGGGGGGGGATCAACTTCTCCCCATTTCACAAGAGCTGCTCAGGAATGGAAAACTGGTTTGTACAGTGTGCAGCCATTGTTATTTTTGGAAAAGGGTGCCAGCTTATTTTCTCCTCTGCTTAGTTCTATTTACATGTTTGTGTGTGTGCACATGCAGGTGTGTGTGTTCAAGGGGCACATGGGAATTCTATCCTTGAGGACAGTCTATGAATTTTGTACTGGCAGCATAGTAGGGGAAATAGCAGTTATTTTGGCTCAACAGGACCATATTACCTGGACATGAGTGTATGCAGGGGAAGGGAGAGGTTAACTTTTGGCCTTCTCATTCATACACACACGCGTGTGTGTGTATGTGTGAGTGAAGGAGGCAATCTTGAAATGAAATTCTGTTTCTCCCCCCCCCCTCCCCTACTCCGGGTATTTTTTTCTGGTTTTGCAGCTTGGAGAGGCTGGTGAGGGACAGGGTAGTGGCTGCTTTGGCCTCTCTAGGGACTCTCTGGCATGTGCGCTCCTGAGAACACAGGGCCGGAGCTGCGATGCTCCCTGCTGGAGGAGGATCCCCGTGCCCTTCTGCACTCAAGGAAGGCAGGAAAACCAATTTAAAAGTATTGGCACCAGTAAGCCATTCTCATGAGGGATTTGGACTCTGCCTCCTCCAGACATCTGGGTTCCGGATGCATCCAAGCAGACAAGACCCTGAATGTGCGCCTTTGCATGCTGAGGACTGAGGAACAAACGTTTCTGGTCCAGAGAGCTAGTGTCCTGACTGTGTCTTGGAGCCCTGTTTACTCTAATGCAGGCTACAAACAGTACAGCTTCTCATTTTCTAAACTGTCCAGTGTTGCACAACAAAGGGTTAAATAGCCAAATAAATAAATTTATCTTCAAAGAGGTGAAGGCCAAGTAATGGATTATGTTAGACAACAGAAAACTGTTGGCATTAGAAGGACATGATTGTAAGTTTGGTTGGCATGCCTATTTATGGTATGGGAAAACGAAAATGGATAGTTTTTTTAAGCACCATTATATCAGAAGAATATTATTTGATACATGGAACAAGTATAAAAGGTTTTTCTCTGAAGAGAGACCACTATGGATAGTTCCAGCAGAGGTGATAAAACCTTTTTCGATACACAGAGGAGAGGATTGGTTGCAATATAAAGACATCTTGCAGACTGCGGGAAAGACGTTTGAAATGAAAGCAGAAGAAGATTTAGACTTTATGGTTGGTTACAATATAGACAGATTCAAGACTTGTTTAAAACAGATAAAAAAGCTTTTGGGTTTAGGAATTAATATTATGATATTGAGAAACTATGGCTGGGAGGGGGCAAAAAGTTGATATCTAAAATGTATAAGATATTGTTACAATGGTATACAGAAGACGAAATAGTTAAGGAACAGATGATAAAATGGGAAGTTAAATGAACAAAGAAATACAAATGTCATCTTGGGAATTTGTATGGAAAAATGCAATGAAATATCAACGTGTAATAATTTAAAAGAAAATTGTTATAAAATGATGTATAGATGGTATATGACACCAAAAAAGATTGCAAATATAAATAGCAGTATGTCAAACAAATGTTGGAAATGTAAAAAGATAGAAGGTTCGTTTTATCATATGTGGTGGACATGTGAGAGGGCAAAAATCTTCTGGAATGAGGTTCATGCTGAAATGGAGAAAATTGTGAAATGTAAGTTTAAGAAAGAACCAGAAATATTACTTTTAGGACTTAAAATGGAGAAAGTTAATATGACAAAAAGGACTTTGATGTGTTACATGATTACAACTGCCAGAATGACTCATGCACACCGCATCCCCCCCCCCCCCCATTTTGCCGGGTGCCTTGTAGGTATTGTTTGACACACAGGAGTTTAGTGCACAGAATCCACTTTTCAGAGCTTTGGGAAGAACACCTGATGGGAACTGATTTAGACTAGGCGTACATGTAAAAGTGGGGGAAATCTGATAATCTTAACAGGTGCCGGAAGCAGGTTTTGTGTTCTAACTGTAGATCCTAGCATGTTTTGAATGATCAGCTCTTCTTCGGGAAGGGAACAAACAAACAAAAAACCAATTACGTCAAAAAGGGCTAGGTGGAGGTTGGAGCACTGTGGGAAGCCAAGAAAGGGGTGGGAGATAGGAGAAAAGGATGTATGACAATTTGAAACCGTGTTTAATCTGTTATTATATCCTAATAAAATGTTTTTTGGGGAAAAAAAGAGGTGAAGGCCAACTGAGAACTTGCGAACTCCTGGAAAGCTGGCTTTGGGGAGATCTTTTTGGCCTAGGAAAAATACATTCTTTGGGGCAGTGTCAAGCAGGAGAAGCCAGGTCATTGTGCTCAGGGGCATCGGAACTTCAGCATGTAGAGGAGAGTTCTGAGGGGTGGGAGGGGATCTTGGGTACGTGGGAAAGGGCTTGACATCAGTTCCAATCCTCTCCTCCCCCTCCAGAGAGGCATCCCCATCGCCCTGTTTTGCAAGGATTTCAATGAGCGAACAAAGGACATCAAAGAAGGGATTCCACTGCCCACGCGCATTACTGTGCAGGTGAGAACAGATGCAACTTGCCGGGCTGAGAAAACCCTATGGGCCGGCAATCCAGGATCTTAAAAAGTCAGCGTTCCCTAGGAATCAATTATCTTAGTTCTGTACACACCTGATTTCAAGGAATTCAAAATACTGCTCTAGGTCTCCTTGAAGCTCTGCTGAAGAGCTTGGGCAGCTCATGACAGCTGGGTGAGGCAGGCTGGCATGAGAGAGCCAACTTGCTCTAGGCTACCCTGTCAGCTTTAAGGACATTGCATATCCTGAGCCAGGCCATCGGATGAACTTGCCCAGGTCCTTTCAAACTAGGACTGAAACCAAGGACTGCATGCAGGTAACATGCTGTGCTGCGAAGCTTGGCTCCACCACATACCCCATCCATGGCATGTCCTCAAGGTGTAGGTCTCAAATTGGTACTCACAGTAATCCTGCCGGGTTATTATTTATTGCATGGCAAAATCACACACAGGAAACATATAATAATATAAAATATATAACCAAGTTGATACAATGAGTATACAAACAGATTGAACGATCAGGTAGGCTGTACTCATTTCCTGTTTTACAAATAGAGAAGTTTAGAAGAGAAGAGATTGGATTTATACCCAGCCCTTCACTTGGCGTCTCAGAGCGGTTTATAAACTCCTTTCTCTTCCCCTCCCCACAACAGACATCCTGTGAGGTAGGTGGGGCTGAGAGAGCTCTTTCAAGAACTATCTTTGAGAGAACAGCTCTGACAGAACTATGGCTTGCCCAAGGTCATCTAGCAGCTGCAAGTGGAGGAATGGGGAATCACACCCCGTTCTTCCAGATTAGAGTCCGCGCACTTAACCACTACATCAAACTGGCTCTTAGATCACAGTGTGTTCAAGCCCTCTCCCCCTTTGTTGTGGTGTTGAATCCAGGGTGTGTATGTGTCTGAAATGAGGAGCCATGACTTTTAAAGGCTTCAGGTTTAGCCTCTGATGAATCAAAAGGTATCCTCAGAAAGGCCTTTGCCTAAAACTAAACTGTAAAGCTGCCATTGAGAGCCCTAGCTCAGGTCTGACTGTACTAGACAGTTGCTTTTGCTTTATATCTGAATGTGTGCTCTGGCCGTACCTGGCTTCCCTTGACACAGAACATGACAAACTTTCTCATGGGCTCCTTTAAAGAACGTTTAGAATATAATCTTTTTGTTCTTTCCATTGGGGCAACAGTGCACGCTATCAAGGAGAATAGAGTCTGGTGGCACCATAAAGACTAACAAGAGAGCCAGTATGGTGTAGAGAGTGAGTTTGGTGTAGTGGTTAAGAGCAGTGGACTCTAATCTGGAGAACTGGGTTGATTCCCCACTCCTCGAAATGAAGCCAGCTAGGTGACCTTGGGTCAGTCACAGCTCTCTCAGAGCTCTCTCAGCCCCAGAACCAACGGGTTGAGAAGGTCGGACCACAACCAATGGGTTGAAATTAGATCAGAAGAGTTTTCGGCTAAATATTAGGAAGAACTTCCTGACACTGTTCCTTATAGTCTTCCTCAGGAGGTAGTGGGGTCTTACACTGGAATAAAATTTTGTTAGTCTTTAACATGCCAATGGGCTCCTGTTGTATTCTGCTGCAACGGGCTAAAACAGCAGCTACCCATCTGGGATCATCACTACTATGAAGGAAGATTCCAGTTGGAATGCAGTCTGTAGCTTTTTAAATTCATGCATTGATGAACCCTAACACTGGAGGGACTTTGGTTTTACATATTCAATTTCCTGGTATCCCCACCACAATGAATTAGGGATAGTACTTTATTACATGACCTAATCCATTCTCAGCGTTTGCCGCCACTTGGGATTAAAGATGGCATGTTCTTTTCCAAGGAGAAATGCCCAGCCTCCCCAGCTAGATAACACTGACTGGGTGGAAATACCCTTCTGTCACTCCAACACGCACATGCGCCCTCACACAGACCTGTACTGTGAAGCCTACAGGTTGTCCTTGTGCCTTTACCAGAGACCTTTGGGACACCACTGATTCTTCTTCCTTCCCTCACCATTTCCTGGTTTTTTTTTTCTTTTGCAGGCCAACAGAACCTATGAGCTGCAGATTAACAAGCCCACAGCCACCTATTTCCTGCTGTCAGCAGCTGGGATAGAAAAAGGAGCAACAAACCCTGGTAAGAGGGGTGCTCAGAGATGGGAACTGACTTCTAGGATGGGATAGCAGAGTGCCTCCACCCCACCCAGGGGGAGAGAGAAACAGTGCAGACAAAGGGACTGCTAGGTTGCCTGGGCACCAACACATTTCATTTTTAGGAACTGAGAATGTTTCCCCGGCCCTTCATTGTGGCACAAGTCACTATAGCAAAGTAGGCATTTTGCTATTGGGCCCCTTGTTAGAGGGGAGGCAAAATCTGCACAATGAAGGTCTTGGGATCAGTATATTGTTGTGCTGACTCCTTTTGGAGTCCACGGGAGGTGAGCAGAGGAGGCAATGCCATTCACTGCCTGTGTCTGCATGGCAGCCCTGGACTTCCTGGGTGGTCGCCCATCCAGGTACTGGCCCAGGGCATTTATTGGTTGTTCACTCTGCCTCTGCTCACTCATGGGCTTTTATGGCAGCTGCCATAGCCATAGGGGGACCGTCTCCTAGATGAATTAAGACCATCTTTGTCGTTGTTACAATTTCATAGAGGCTTGCGAGTCAGAACTTTTTAGGAAGGCCTTTGGGAATCACTTAACGTGTAGTGGTTAAGAGTGTCGGACTAGTATCTGGGAGGCCGGGGTTCAAACCCTCACTCATGCCATGGAAGTTCGCTGGGTGCCCTTGGGCCAGTCACCCACTCTCAGCCTAACCTCCCCCACAGGGTTGTTGTGAGGATAAAATAGAGGAGAGGAGAATGGTGTAAGCTGCTTCAGGTCCCCATTGGGGAGAAAGGCAAGGTATAAATGAATAAAATAAATAATAAAAACTTTATTTTAAAATCTCTCTCCCTTCCTATATACACATCAGATGTGTCTGGGCTTGATTAGAATATGTTGTCAGGGCTCTTTTTGTAGCAGGAACTCCTTTGCACATTAGGCGACACACCCCTAATGTAGCCAATCCTCCAAGAGCTTATAGTAGCCCCTGTAAGAAGAACTCTGTAAGCTCTTGGAGGATTGGCTACATTAGGGGTGTGTCGCCTAATACGCAAAGGAGTTCCTGCTACAAAAAGAGCCCTGGTTGCAATTAAAATGTAAGCACTTGAGAGTCTGAGGCATTCCAGAAACTGGTCTTCCTATCTGCAGTGGCTGAATATTTAACTGCCCAGAAGGCAAAAATTGCATTTGCCTGGGGCTGGAGGCAAAAGGGCAGATTAAGCTGTGGGTTACCACATGAGTGGTGGTTTGGTGTGGTTTTACTGCCATTATAAAGGAAAGGACAGACCTGTGAGGCTGAACTAATGTTCTGTTTTCTAAATGATGCTTCAGGAACTGGAAATGTATTTTGCAGAAGCTAGGCTGCTTTGCAAATGGTTAGATACTAGTAAAATTCTGGGAAAGCGTTCAGAGTTACTGAGCACTCACTGTTGGGTACAAAATTCCACTGTGTGGAATCTCTTGTTCTCTCTCACACATCCCCACCCTCATTTTATGGTGGATGGGGAGAATGTCCTTTCCTCACAGGTGACACTGTGGGCCAGATCTTTTCCATGTCTTAATTTAAATTTGATGGGACTGTGAGGGACGAGGCAGATTTGCATCATGGGGGACATTCCACTGATAGGTTGCCAGCTTGGTTTAGCGTACTCTGTGTGCTCCGCAGGGCACGAAGTAGCCGGGATGGTAACTCTGAAGCACCTCTATGAAATCGCCCTGGTGAAGTCTCAAGACCCTGCTTTCGTACTGCGTGACATGTCGCTCAAGTTGGTCGTCAGGTCACTTATGGGAAGTGCCCGATCGTTGGGCATCAAGGTGGTGAAAGAGTGAGTACGATTCAACTTCTCGGGGGTGGTGGTGGTGGTGACGAGCAATGTGTTTCAAAGGGCTTGTTGCTTTCTGTGCTGTTTTAAGGGAAGTCGGAAGCCAGAACAGAGAGGCCCCTAAAACTGCTCCCACCCGGCAGAGAAAAGCTGCAGGGAGAATTCTGGGGGGAGACAAAGCAGCAGGCCCTTAGTGGGGCCAGTTTGAAAGGGCAGGTGGGCCTGGTATGGAGGGAGTGGCGGCAACAATCTGCTCTCTTCTTTCCTCCCCTCCCAGTCTCAGTGCAGAGGAATACGCTGTCTTCTTGAAGGAGCGTGAAGAGAGATTGGCTGCGGAGGCCGAAGCAAAAGAGGCAGAGCTAGCTGCTGCAGGGAAGAAGAAATGAGGCCCTACGCTTGCTCTTTTGAGAGTCAAAGTCCTGGACAACTCGACGGATCTGGTGTTGGCCAAGCACCAGTTTGTTCCCATTCCCCTTGTCCTGGAAATTAAGGTCTGCTTGATGGCCGGATAAGTGATTTCTCACGGATGTGATTGGGGAGGATGGGGAGAAAGGGGTTGTACCTGGGAGGCCAAGCTCTTGCTAGAGCCTGTCCAATACTGTAAGTCTTGATGTGCTGATTGGCTGTCCCTTTCAGTAAAATCTTGTGAATCTCTTGGGTTTCCCATTGTCTTCATGTACAAGCGTGGGGATCAGGGTGTGCCTTTCTCTGGTCCTTGGGGGTTATAGTTCAGGGACTGAGAAAATAGGATCAAGCTTATCTCACTCTGTTAGCAGCCGGAATGGTAGTTATGGTAGGCAGCCGCTGTCCCATTTCTTAGCAAAGATGCTCCGGATCCAGCTTACAAGCAAGTAAGCAAAAAACAACAACAATAAGAATCAGGAGTGTTTCAGTGGAACAAAACTAAGCCAATGGGTCATAACACACAGTAGTTATGGTCCAAAGTTGGTTGTGGCCTGGCACACTTCAGCTGAGGCCCTCCTGGAGGGAATGGTCTTATAGGCTGCCATGGGGCAAGAAGAGATTGGACCCAGAGGCCTCTTGTCTTTTTTCTAGGCAGCAGAGGCGCTGTGGAGCAGGGGTGCCATGGGACAGGTGGGAGGAGGAGCGCTTTCAAATCTTTAGGGTCTAGCTGCAATGGCACCCAGTCAGGGATGCTGTCACATATAAGCAAAACATACCTGCCGTGGAGGCTCCTACCTGCAACCTGAATGGCTAGTTTGGACTTCTTGCTTTTGTGCTCTGGTTCCCTGGGGGAGGGGTGGAACTTTGCTGAAGCTGGCCCATACGTTGCAAACCTTCTGCGGAGTTTCCCATCTTGCACTCACTTTTGGGTTAATTAGCCCTTCATTTCCAGACTGTCTTGTACGGCTAAAGAAAGACACCTCTGTGCTTTTATCCCACTGTCCATCCCGTATTTCATCTCCCGGGGTGCTGCTTCTGACCAAGCCACAGGATGCTTATCTGTCAATCAAGGTGGAAAGTGAAGATAGGGCCACAGTATGTGTGCGTGGGGTGGGTGGGTTGTGGCTCATTGGTAGTGCATTTGCTTTGCATGCAGAAGATCCCCGGTTCAATTGCAGGCATTTCCAGTTAAAAGGATCAGGCAGGAGATGATGTGAAAGACCTGAGATTCTGGAGAGTGATGATGACCTCGATAGAGCAAAGGTCTGACTCAGGATAAGGCAGCTCGCTGTGTTCTTATTTTGTAAAGAGCCATCTCTGACCCTCCCCATCTCCGTCTGATGTTGGAGCTTGTCCATGGGATGGTGCTGAGAGGTCACAGCCCCTGCTGCTGGAGGATGGTGTCGGCTCCTCACGACCTACACTCAAGAATAGCATTTCGCCCTGACCTGGATAACCCAGGCAAGCCCGATCTCAGAAGCTAAGCAAGGCCCACCCTGGCAATTATTTGGATGGGAGACCTCTAAAGAATATCAGGGCTTGGAGGCAGAGGCAGCCTATCCAGGCATGCGGGTGCGCGCAAATGCACACACATGCAAAAAATGCAGAGAGGCACAAAGGAGATAAATGGATAGAGCTAGCCAAGGCAGGGGTATACAAAGAACAGCAGTAGTTCTATCACATTTCTAATTATCTAAGTGGTTACAACATCCCTGTAATGTTGGCCAGGGTTATTCCTCATATTGCGGGGGTGGGGTGGTTAAAGCTAGCATAAGACTCCGCCTATGGCTCAGACCAGGGGTCCATCATCACATCTCACACGAGAGGCCAACCAGTTCCTATGGAGGACCAATAACAGGTCATAGAGCCCAAGGCCTTCTCCTAAGGTTGCCTTCTGCCACTGGGATTCAGAGGTTTAGTGCTTCTGACTATGGAGGGTTCCTTTAGTCACTATAGCTAGTAGCCACTAATAGACCTCTCCTCCAGGAATCTGTCTAACCGCCTTTTAAAGCCATCTGTGCCTGTGGCCATCACTGCATCCTCTTGCAGCTATTTCCACATTTTAATCATGCACTGAGTAAAAAAGTGTTTCCTTTTGTCCTCAATCTATTGCCTGTCAACTTCATTGGATGCCCTTGAGTTCATGTATTTGGGGTGTGGGAGAAAAAGTTCTCTCTGTTCACTCTCTCTATGCCATGCACTGCTTTGAGAACTGACTCTGGTAGGATGTATTCATGGCTTGGGGGGCAGATTGGAATTGATGATTTCTCAGCCATTCATTCCTGTTCTCAGGAAAGGCTTTTCTCACTCACAAGACCTTACATTGTCCCCTCCATCCCCGCCCCATCATTGTGCTGCTGCATCTGGAGGCATGGAATTGGATGGTATGCAAGCATTCTAATAAAGTTTTTGTTGGAGACAGCACACAAGATTGGATACGGTTGCACACCTTTTGAACTGGGAAAGAAGCAGGGCTATTTTGGGGCAGGAACGCACAGGAACGGAGTTCCGGCTGGCTCCCAAGTTGGCCACACCCAGCAGGAACTCATTAGCATAATAGGCCACACCCAACAGCAGAAACTCATTCGGATTGGCTACATTAGGGGTGTGTGGCCTAACATGCAAAGGAGTTCCTGCCACAAAAAAAGGCCCTGGGTTTTGACAACAAGCAAGGTAAACAGAATAACAAGCAAAAGGTGGGTGTGGCTGGATAACCACACTTCTGGTAACATGTGGGTGCGGCCTAATTTGCTAATGAACTGTGCTGTCAGGGGTGTGGCCCAATATGCTAATGAGTTCCTGCTGTTGGGTGTGGCCTATTATGCTAATGAGTTCCTGCTGGGCTTTTTCTACAAAAAGAGCCCTGGAAAGAAGTAATGTCCCAGGCCATTGGGTGGGGATCCTAAGGGGAATTTCTTCTCTCCTCTACCCTGGACCTAGTTTGTCTTGCTCAAATAATCTGCACTGAATTTCCCTGCAAGCACTGCATGGCAGTTTACCTGCTCTCTGCTTAAGGCTTTCGGTAGGACTATCATACTTTGGTCACATTATGAGAAGACAAGAGTCACTGGAAAAGACAATAATGCTAGGAATAATTGCAGACAACAGGAAAAGAGGAAGACCCAACGTGAGATGGACTGACTCAGTCAAGGACACCAGGGCCCTCCGTTTTCAAGGCTGTTAATTACAGGATATTACACACACACAAACACACACACACACGACTGACGAAGGGATAGACCTAGTGCAGGGGTCAGTAACATTTTATAATGAAAAAGTCAAGCGGCATCAAAATTAAAAGCAAGAGGTTAACAAACAGCCAGTATGAGAAAGTTCATTTGCATAATTTAAATAATACAATTTAACGCTACTGATAAATGGCATGTTGGATTAATAATCCGTAATGTTTCTGCAGCCCAAATGCTGGTAGTTGCGAAGTCTCACAGCAAGGGATAAACATATGTAACTGCACAATTGTTTCAGTGCACTGGCATAAATCTGTGAACACGTGGATTCCTGGCCAGTGATCACTTCTATCATTTCCTTTTCTGTAAAGCATCTGTAAAGCTGCGGTGGCTCAAGTGGCTCAAGACGCATAACTGCAGGCTGTGGAAGGTCAGTAGTTCAGCAGTTCGAGACCCGGGTGCCACATGACGGAGTGAGCTCCCATCTCTAGTTCCAGCTCTTGCCAACCTAGCAGTTCGAAAGCAAGAAATTGCAAGTAGATAAATAGGTACCACTTCAGTGGGAAGGTAACAGCGCTCCGTGCGCCTTGGTGTTTAGTCATGCCGGCCACATGACCACGGAAACGTCTTCGGACAGCGCTGGCTCTTCGGCTTTGAAACGGAGATGAGCACCGCAACCCTAGAGTCGAGCAAGGGAACCTTTACCTTTTTTAAAGCATCTCTAAGAAGCCCTTTAAAAATAATCTTTGGCTGCCATTATTTTCGCATGCTGATTATTCGCCCACCTTAAGCCCTCCAATATAAATGTAGAGATTTCATTTTCTTTTATAAAGAGCTGTATTTGGCTCTCCACCGAGCCACGCTTTGTTCTACAGCTGTTAAATTACTGGACCCTGGGTTAGGGGGCTGAGTAAAATCCAACTCTTGCTGCCACAAACTCGATAGCAGCCTTTAGGTGACCTACCTGCCCGCAGTATTATTAGCATCCCATTATTAGCTACCACCTCTCAGATTATTATTATTAGTATCATATTATTAGCTACCACCTCTCCAATGATTATTAATAGCATCCAGACATTCTTCGTCAGAATAATTGTGTGAATTAGCACAGAATATCCAGCAGGTGTCAGGACTGAGCTGTGTTCTACTGAAGAACATTCATCACTTCCTTTCCAGTTACAAGGCTTGGCAGTCTCCCTTACCCCTTCACATGAGAAATCAAGCATCTTGGGGCACCTGTTGGGATGCCCTCCTGTAATTCTGTGACCACCCAAGCTCCTCTTCCTTGCTCCAACCAATGGTTTCCCTCTAACCCGTCCACTGGTACCCCGTATTTCCATGGCAACGAGTGATGCTCCTCAGGATACCAGATGCCTGTTGCTAGGGCTATATGAATGAAGCTTGACTGCGGCAGATTGAAGGGAGGGGGAACGGAGGATGTTAGGGAGTCTTCTTTGGAGCAACTGAATACTTTGGGGCTAACAGAAGAGGGGGAGGGGGCTGTGGCTCAGTGGAAGAGCCTTTGCTTGGCACGCAGAAGGTCCCAGGTTCAATTCCCGATATCTCCAGTTAAAAGGAGCAGGCAGTGGGTGATGTGAAAGACCATCGCCTGAGACCCTGGACTGCCCCTGCAAGTCTGTAAACAATACTGACCCTGATGGACTGATGGTCTGATTCAGTACAAGGCAGCTTCAAGCTGTGTCCATCTCTTGGCCCACCCCTCAAATAAGGTTTGGTCCCTTTGAGCAAAAGCCCCACCCTTCAAATGCCACCCTCTCCACTCAAACGTTTCCTCTGTTGCATCCAGTCTGGACCACAAGCAGCTCCTCTAACTAAATGTTTGATTTACATAGGTATTTATACGCCACTTTTCTTCCCAAAGCAGCTTATAACATGCTCCCAACAATAACCCAAAGAGAGGGAGGTTAGGCTTAGAGGGTGTGACTGGCCCAAGGTCACCCAGCAAACTTCCCTGGCAGAGTCGGGATTTGAACCCGGGTCTC